TTTGAACTTGAGAATTTTGGAGGTTGAAAAAGTCTTATGCAGCTGCGGCTGTCGAAGGCGGAAGGTATGGCAGGATGATGCCAATAAAGCCTTCAAACTTTTGAAGTTGCTGACTATATTGTTGTAATTGCGATTTAAGGTTATGATTTTTTTATGAATTTTGTTGTTGAGTACTGTTAGATGTAACTATCGACACAATCATCTTGCGAACTGACATTTCCAATGTCGTATACGCATTCCTTGTATTTTCCTTGTATTTTATACCATACAGAATGTAAATAAATAACGTTTTATCAACCTTATTTGTGTTACATACCATGATAATTTTATATACAATTCTCATCATATTTAATATATATAACGAAAGTTATGAAACCACTATCAAAAATATAAATTTTTAACGACAGCTTGAAAATGATAATTCTGAGACTATTATGTTACTAAACTCATCTTTAAGTTGTGGTGGGAAGACTTTGGTACTAATTTAAACGCCAGAGGTTAGGATTAAGATCTTATATCCAAATTAAAGTTATAATTGTTGAATTAAACTAAAGCAGACAAATATATTTGGTTATCTCGTAGAATAATAACACATGACGTAAAACATTTATTGAAGATTTATTTTTTTATTAGGAATTATTGTAAAGTAAAATAAATAAATTAATTAATTGATATCCATCTTAATTTGTAAAATTATTTAGTGGTCCAGGAATATTACTTCGAACGTTACGTGTTAAGGACCATTTTCTTTTTTTAAAAAATATTATTAGTGGCAACACTACAAATAGGTTCAATCAGAAAATACAAACTTTTCTTCATCCTCTGCATATCAAACCCAACAAATCTTGTCAATATCTTATACATGCAGATAATCACGGATAAATGTTTAATATAATTATTTTCACTTCACCAAATACTCCTTCAAGGTGATCATAACACTAATTTTAATTATTCACAGATTTTATTTTATTTCTATGTCTGAATATTATTAAATCAAGATTTATATTCATTTATTTAAATTATATAAATATATAATAATATTTTAATTTAACTATAATTCATCAATTTAACTATACTACTGATAACTTGCATATCTAATATTAGCTTCAAAATCTTTACAAAGGGTTATCAGTGGAAAAAATATATTAGTATTAAAAAATTCTTTCACCTCCCAATACAATAAAAATCCTATGGAGATCACTCAAAACTCTATATTTAGCTACTCCGGCCAACGACCGGGAAGTACGATGCTTTTAGCCTTTTTATTTTTTTATTTTTACTTTTATATTTTACAAAAAATTATCCAAGTTTTGTAAATTATATTGCCTAAAACCAAATTTTGATAAGGATTAATTTCACCAGATTTTAATTTGATAATTCGTTCATTTTTCACTATTTCAATATTAGAAATCTAGTTCTGCTGTTTTCTTTTAATTACATAAGTGATTTTACAACGTTTTAGAAAAATAATTTAAAAATAAAATATAACATCTCATCTCAAATTATATAGATATAATATTAATGCACTTATCTAAAAAATAACCATAATAATAAATATATCTAAAATAACTAAGGATAATACTAGACAATCAAAAGAAAATTATGGTGCATCATTATCTTTCACTAAAGATGTTTCAACACCTATCTTTCTTCTATTCACACTAACAATATGATCATTACAAAAAAACTAAACATAGACAACACCATAAGAAACTATATAGTCAATTAATGTGCGAAATGATTTTCATAAAACAAATATAGAGATATTATCATACATCACTCACTCATAAAAACAACCATATCATATATGAAGACTCATATTAGATTCAATTATCCAGACAAAACATTGATGTGAAATCTCGAGAGGTCTTGCACTTATGATGGCCTCTACCACACATAAGGTTAGTCAATTATCATCTTTGGCTAGCGTAAAGTCCTAGACTAGGACTTCCTATACATCTCTCACCACATACATTATTCTACTATACATGTGTTTGAATGGTTATTGGACCGATAGGATAACCTCCAACATTTGGACTCCTACATCAATGCATATACTAATGAAACACTACTATAGAATCTCCCCACGAGATCCATGAAACAACGCCAAACACATATACAATACTCATCAACATTACAATATCATACATTATTATTCACATGCATATTTATTCATAAATCTATAAACAATTCTTAGATAAACTTCTTAAACCAACTATCATTTTTACATCACATAATCCTACATTAAACATACCAGAAAAGTACATATAAATAGAGTTAGACTTATTAATTTCACTCAGTGAGAATATCTACTCACTCAGCGAGTAGTACCTGGAAGCATACTCTCCCAACGACTAGATAATTGGCCCAGCGAGATTGTCAGTAGAACTCAGGCTTAAATTCTCACTACGAGACTTGTCTCACCCAATTACTGTCAAGTCAATAAGCTCTCTGACTTTGACTTAGCCTAGCAAGTATATTCTTGTCCAACGACCACCAAGCTAGTACTCTCTGACTTTGACTTCGTCCAACAAGTATATTCTCGCTTAACAAGTCTGCATAGAACATAATTATGCAAATTTATGTCATTCCAACCCTGCAAGTTCAGTTCAATAGCCAACACAAATGCCAAAACACACCAAATTCGAATTACATAACCTTCATTAACTCAAATCATCTCATATGCAATATGAATGAGACAACATTCCCAAATTTCATTATACAATCAATTCATGCAATTTAAGAACCTAACCACAATTCAACAAATCACACTCATCACACATATATATCAATCGTTCATTCGATTCGATTCATTATACAATCATAAAATTAGAAATTTCAAGGTATCTATAACTTAAAACCAGTGCAATGAGTTTCATTTACCTAACCAACAACTTACAAGACCCTAATCAGCAAAACTCCTCCCAACTAGTAATATGCTTTATCTACACATAGAAACATCACAAGAACGATCATGACATATCATTATGATCACTAATCCTCATAGACTCATATACATGACGAAAAAGACATATGCAAGTGGAAGAAGACTCACATGCAACAGATAACAAAAAAAGACCGAGAAAATAATTAAAACTCAACTTACGTGAACAGAGAAATTGTTCAATCCAAATTGAAGAGCTCGTCGCAAGAATATCTAGGTTCTTTAATCAGACAAACAAAGAAAAAAATCTTAGAAAACAATCAAAAAAACTCAAAAAGTTTTCTAAGAAAATTGTATATATTAAAATAATTAAACTCATTCGTAACAAAACTATTTATATTAAAATATTTTAATATTAAAATATTTAAGTATCACTATTTTTAAACTACTATTATCTCTAAAATATCCATTACTAAATCTTTAAGAAAATATAAACCTCAAAATTTAAGTAATTTATAAACACAAAAAAAAGTTAAAAAAGTAATTTATGAAATTATATATTTTCAATTAAATCTCGCTATTAATTTTTATTAAATATTTAAAACATTTTTGTTTAATTATGTGTCGTTCGATCTAGCTTTAAATATGATAATATGTATATAGATATAGTTTTTGATGTCGTTCAAAAAGTGGGCAAAAAAGAAATGAAAAAACCAGTTTACTGTGATTATATCTTTATGGTTCATGAATAGCAAGAAAATAAATGGATGTACGTGTTAACAGCAAACATATGAGAGAAATAGAAAAAGGGTAATTGATATCTATGTTGATATTTTGAGGGATATAGATTATGATAAATAAAATGCCCAATCTATACTCTTATCCCATTAATTGTATTCTTTTGCTCCATAACTTTACAATATTATTGCCATATATGTAGATTTTGTCCCCACAGATTAAAATAATTTATGGATTAGATTTAAAGTTTCCTGATAAATACTACTGAAATAGTCTCTGAGTTTATCAATTGTCAACTTTGTAAAATAACAGTAAAAAAAAAGCTTAATTTCTTGTTTTTAAAAAAGACTATGACAAAGAAAGCTGCCAATTCTCGTTTGAATTTATTTATGATTTTTTTTATCAATCATTATCCATTTTTAAAAAGACTAGAAACTTTAGTGTATTTCCTATATTGGCTAAGAACATGTCGTATTATATTTAAAAGTTGCATCTTATAATTTTTTATTAGAACATATATATTGATAATAAGAACATGTCATATTATATTTTTTATTAGAACATGGCTAAGAACAATTTTAATGATTTTTTCAAATTATAGAAAATGTTATTTAAATTCCAAAAAAATCTAACAATTTTTAAGTTCAATGAATAAAAAAATTAAAATTTTTAAGAATAAAAAATATTTTATCCTAAGTTGGTGTAAACAAAATCAGTTAGACAAACATCTCAGTTACAATTATATTGATATCTCAAAGTTGATTAATTATTTATTTTAATTTGGTGTATTTATTTTATATTTAGTCCTCTTTTCACATACTTAATTTTTTGTGAAACGAAAAAGGAAGAAGGATTTGGTATACCACCGAAAGTTAGCAACCATTATGATTTGATGTTTGCTCTCCTTCCCATTATAAAATGGAAGCAATATGTGCGGCAGAAGACACACCTTCGAGAAGAGAAGAAAAACAGAGAGAGAGAACGCCACGGCGAAGGTGAGAAAAATAGAGTCTTTTCTGTGAGAGTATGAAAAAGAGAAAATTTTTACATATGATTCGAGAATATGAGATTTTATAAACTAACAATTTTATATCTAATATGTTTATTTTAGAATTTCAAAGTATAAAAATCAAATTTTGAAAATATACAATATGTATTTTAATTATATCAAATTAGCATTTATATTTTGTATAATAATAACATCATTAATTTTAATAATCCAAAAAGGTGTATATATATAGATATATAATTAGGGGAAGTGGTTGGATTCAATTAAGTTTAAACATGTCCCTAAGTCTTTAAAAAGATATAGAAACTTAAAAAATAAATTGAAAAAAATTATATATTGAATTGGGAAAGAAAGAAGATGAAATTCTATATGTCTAAGATCTTACAGAAATGTGTAGGTTGGGAGCTTAAAGTCCAAAGGGTGATGACAGAGTGTGAGCTACCAGTGGTAGACTTCACTAAGCAAAATCTGAAAGATTCTACACATACATGGCTTTCAACTTGTCAAGTAGTTCGTAGTGCTCTTGAGGATCATGGTGCTTTCTTGGCACTCTATGATAACATAAGTTCGGAAACATATGACTCTGTTTACTCAGAAATGAAGAAATTTTTTGACCTCCCAACAGAAACAAAACGAAGGAAAACCACTGATAAACCTATTTTCAGCTACTCTGGCCAGCGACCTCACATTCCTTTATATGAATCCGCAGGTATCATGAATCCACTCAGCTTTCAGGATTGTCAGAAATACACACATGTTATGTGGCCACAAGGAAATCATGCTTTCTGGTAACTTTCATGCTTTCACTTTTCATCAAGGAATTCAAGCTAGATTGATTTTCTTAATAGACTAAAAGTAAAGGTTTCATCAGGATTAAGAGTTTCACTTCATGCACTCTGTCAGTGTATTTTATTTTACGTTTTTAATCGATTTAAAAATCATGATAACTTTTAATTTTATGATATAAATAATGTAAAAGTGATCAAAATTATAATGTATAATGTAAAAAAGATGTTATATTAACGTGTATTGAAAGTCTCACATCAATTACATATAAGATCAATTTAGAATATATAAGTGAGAGTAATTCTTATCTTACAAGTCAGTTTTATGAAATTGAATATATTATTAGATCATCTGCATTAATGCATGTCTTTATTCTTATTTTTAAACGAAATGAAATTTTTAAACGAAATGAAAAAGAAAGATGAGAATTTCATGAGATTAGAATACATGATAATTAACATTAAAATCTAAGTACATATATTTAATATAACTTGTTAATTGCTTGAAAAGAATGAAAGAGTGCATGAAAGTTATAGGTATATTAACCCTTTGGATTTTGGTTTTGTGAGTAGTGAAAGTGTGAATTCGTATGCGAAGGAAATAGTGGAAGTGGATCATATTGTGAAGAGAATGATGTTTGAGAGCTATGGAGTGGAGAGGAAGAAACTTGAGTGTTTTCTTGAATCAACCGAATATGTTCTTAGAGGATACAAATACAGAATACCAGAAGTGGGTGAGAGTAATTTGGGAGTGGCTCCTCATTCTGACACTGCTCTTCTAACTATACTCAATCAGAAGGTAGAAGGCTTGGCTGTCAAATTGAAGAATGGCAAATGGTTTGAAGTCGGTGTTTCACCTTCCTTGTTCTTGGTCATGGCTGGTGATGCATTGATGGTCAGTCACTTAAATTATTATGAATATAAAATTTTTTATTTTTTAATATATTTGTTTATTAAATTATTAAAAGTTGATGACACAGGTATGGAGTAATGGAAGAATACGAGCTTGTGAACACAGAGTTATAGTAAAGTCAAAGAAAGAAAGATACTCAATGGGACTACTTTCGTATGCTGGTAAGATAATGGAAGCAGAAGAGGAGCTAGTTGATGAGGAACATCCTCTACGTTATAAACCACTTGACCACTATGGATACCTACGTTTCTTTCTCACTCAAGAAGCCTTAAAATCTGATTCTCGGATCAAGGCATACTGTGGTATTTGAAACACATTGTGTGTCGTCTTTTAAGGATGTACAAAAGTTTAAAAGTTCAGTTTGGTGTCGTGTGTTTTATGAAGTTTACAACCTTTGAGAATAAATGTTCAGAATGTGTTATATGAAATGGACATAAAAAGGGTTATTATGATTTATGAATCACAAGACAATAATAATTGTGGCTGAATGTTCTCATAAGAAATATAATATGATTTTATTTACATAGTCAATCATCATACATTAAAAATATTGTTTCATATTTAAAATTAAAATTTCATTATAGTTTAGTCTTTAAAAAATATATTGAAAAAAAATTATCTTATATTTTAATTATTATAATTATTAAGTGACGTGAAAAAGACGCGATAGAATATATATACGACGAAATTTTCGTGCTATTATATAATAATTATGTATGTATCCATGATTAGGTACATATTAAAATATTCTCTGAGCTGATCAATTGTTAACTTTGTCAAAACAGAACAAAAGAAGCTTTTATTGTTTTCAAAATGGTTATGGCTAAGCTAATGATACAAATAGCTACCAATTCTTGTTTGCATGAATTTCATGTCACTAATTATGCTTAGGCTACATTTTCAAATGTTATAAATGTTGAAAATTTATTATTTTAAGATTTTGAATTAAAATGATATTAAATTTTTTTACAATCACTTTTTATATGTTGTTTAAGACTCAAGAATTTATTGCTTAATACATTTATAGGCTGAGAAGTAATCTAGATGCAAAAAAAAACCTAATTACAAAGAAAAGTCATTCAAATTTATGAGAGAATAAGTAATCATTGGTATATAACATACAAAGAATGATCAAATTTGAAATGAATTATTATCCTCAACTATAAGGTTCAATCATATGTTGATATTGGAAAGTCAAATCAATTGTGACTTATGAATCAACATCAACATTAGTTTGTGATGAGATTACTGAGATTTTTGGAGATGGGATTGGAGTTGGTTAGTGGTCGTCAAAAGGGATGGGGATGCAAATTGTCTAGGTAGCATAAAAGATAGGGATATGGATAGTGTGTCTCCAACTATGATAGGGGAAAGGGATTGTGAAGGAGTCATAAAAGATGTAAATGGGTGTCACAATAGCAATGGGTAAGTGTGGGGGGTGGGGAGGGTGGGTTTAACAAAAGTATAGTGAGGGTTGCAACTAATGTGTACAGGGAAGGGTGGATATTTAAAAAATAATGGATGGGACATATGAAATGGTATGTCATGTGGTGTACTTATTAACATAACATCTTTGCTTTCTCTATGCTATCCCCTTTCCTTATTCTCATTTAATGTTGGGGTCAAGGTGACATCTTAGCAATATCCCCTTCCCTTATTCTCATTGTATGTTGGGGTCAAGGTGACATCTTAGCAACACTTGTATATATATCATAACTCATAGTAATATCACAAAGTTTATAAAAGATTCAAGATATTGGTACTAAACTTCTCTTATAATTGATACTAGTGTGCATCTAGGGCTGGACATAATTTACCAAACTGTACTAAACTATAGTTATCTATACTATATTATACTTAAAAAAATTAAACTGGTGTATACTAATAACTAATTAAACTATTCTTTGGTTCAGTTTAAAAAAACTGAATTTTAAATAATTTCAGTTCAGTTAATTGCGTTAACTTTTTGTCTTATTTTCTTTGCTCAATTTCTTTCTCCATCATAATTCATATTCAATTATCACTGTCACAACTTTTTTGTCGTTGTCGACCTCTTCCTCTCCGCCGCCACCCATCCCTTCTCCTCTCTTCCCCGATTAGCCCTCTGCTGCTCGACCCTAGCCATCTTCTAGGGGTTTTGTTGGAGCTTCTTCTGCATCCGTTTAAGTACTTCGTTGCCACCATAAGATTCTTCGTGGAGCAGAATTTTGTTGCCATTTTTGCTATCTTTTTCTCTTGGGAGTTGACTCATCATTTGCATTGGGTTGATTTTTCTCAAATTTATGATCTCTACATGTTTGTTGATATGAATGAAAGAAAACTAAGCACATTAGATCATAGTTGATAGTAAGCATAAAAGTATGGTCATTTTTCTTGATTTCTCTATTACATCCTAATTGGTCTAATATTACTTACCTTACCACATAATAAACCATAAGATGTTGTAAAAGTATATCCAATGTAGGATCCATATTTATGCAGAGTTTTTGGAAATTCATATTTGGATTAGTCTTTGGACAATAGGTTATTTGAAAGATATGTTTTACATTTGGGATTTTGTTAGTTGTTGACAGTTTGTGAATCAGTTGCTGACCTTTTTTGGACGGGTGACGCAGCTGGAGCAAGCTGAAAAGGCAGCCCATATTGTGATCTGTTATGATTTGATTTTGTATTGAAAACTTAAACTTTATGAGTTAAATTTAGTGTAGTTAACAAAGCAGTTCAGTTTACACTATAGTTTAGTTCAATTCATTTGAGTTCAGTGCAGTGCAATTTGGTAGGATAAAAAGTAGTTCAGTTCAATTCATCTGAACTACTTTTTAGTTTAGTTCAGTTCAAGTGAACTATTTTTGGGTTCAATACAGTTTTTAACAATATAGTTTAGTACAATTCAATTTGCCCACCCCTATGTGCATCTAGTAACCTAGAGCTGTCAAAACGGGTAACCCGGCCCGACCCAACCCGACCCACCACGGGTTGGTCACTTAGTGAGCCAACCCAACCCGGCTCATTTATTAGCGAGCCGAAAAAATTCGAACCCGACCCGACCCACCACGGGTTGGTGGGTTAAACGGGTTGGCTCATTGGCTCACTTAATTAACTTCTTTTTCACTCTCTTCTTCCGAGATTCTTATAACATGTTACTTTGATCGATCAAATTGAAACAGTAATAATTGGATCAATTAATATAAAAGAAAATGAAACAAAAGAAATATATTGTTACATATATTTTAAGCTATCAAGCATAAAATTTTGCCAATTTAGTTTAATAAGACATACGGAATTACATATAGCCGGTAACAAAAATATATAGCACAAGATAAAACTGTCATGCTTGTAGATAGGTCTAAAAACAAGATAAAAGAAATGATATATTCCTGACTTAATTTAATTTGTGAAAAAACTATATATTACTAAGTAAAAGTTATACATTTTGAATACTTAATTTAATTAATTTAATTTTAATAAAAAAAAATAGAATTTAAATAATTAATTTAATTAATTTGATTTAATTAAAAAAAAAATAGGTGGATTGGTGAGCCAACCCGACCCACCACGGGTTCAACCCATGTGAGCCGGGTTCTTAGTGAGCCAGGTCAAAATTGGCTCGCATAAAAAATTTGACATTTTTTTTCAACCCAACCCGGCTCAAACCCGTGGTGAGCCGGGTTGGCTCACGGGTTTCGACCCATTTTGACGGCTCTATAGTAACCAAAGCCACCATAAAAGAAATGGTTGAATTTTGTTTTTAATATTTTTAAAAACTATGTAAATCTTTGTTTGGATAAACATAAATAGACGAAGTTTAATGTTGTTTTTTCTTGAGCGATGCATTTTATAAAGCTCATCAGGCATAACTTCACAAAAAATATCTTCTTTAAGTTAGTTGTAGATAATAATATACAATATAAAAGCTAAAAAGGATGAAGAGATTTATATGCAAAGTATTTTTATATCCATTCTTCTGAAATATGCATATACACATCCAATTCTTGATAAACCTGATCAAGTTTCAATAAGGCATATCGTTGCATGATATAAATATTGTTTAAACTGAACCACTTTTAGTTAAACACAAGTATTTTTTGGAACACAACCAATCCTAACTAAATATGAATATTCTTTAGAACGTAGTCATTATTAGCTAAGACTTGAACATTCATTAAATCGTAGTCACTTATGCCTTATATTTGAGAATTATTTGGATTATAATAATTCTTATCTAAGACAAATACAAGATGATAAACATTTTTTTAGGTTGCTTTGAACACACTCAATGTTCTTGCTCACACATATGCTTTATCATTAAAAAAAATCAATCCTTTTTTCATCTTCAAAACTTCTATATACAGAGTTCAGAAGAAAAGAATCATTATGAAACTTTTTTGAGTCTTTGTGAGGTTATGATCCTTTTTTCTTTATCGACTTTCATCTAGCCACATTCAAGCACATGGATGCATTAAATGTTCTTCATGAACCATTAAATGCATATAACTTCTTTGTGCAACTTCTTTGATACACAACATGACTTATCAAACTTAGGAAGGTAACTTCTCCCTCCTTATTGAAAACACACATGACTTGTTGTAGTTGGTTGACTATGTGGCACTAAAATTTTGTCTTTTTAAAAAAGTTGTTTGTGTAAACACAATTTAAGCACACTATTCAAGAAATATTGATGTAAGCATATCATTGCAAGATCCTCTTAAGAAAAATAAAGAATCAAACAATTTCTACATAAAGAGAGTAAGTGTTTATAAGTCTTCAACGTGTACCATAAATGTTTAATGCTTATCATCTCTAAGATGAAATATGATTTATCATTTGTCCAAGCAAAAGCTTATTAGACAAAAAAACATATGCAAAAACACATGTTTATTTATCCATACTACGTGTGCTTGTTAGGCTAAACATGATAGGATAATGGTTATAAACATAGGTTTTACAATTTATTATTTAAGCACAAAATAAAAAACGAAACAAAGGATTGTGGTTTAAGGACATGTTTGTTTTTATTTCTTTTGAACATGACCTGGTGCCAATTGTTAAACAATAAATAATGGGAATTAGTGGTACAATTAGATGAGAGAAATCAAAATCCAATTACTTACAAAAAGAAAATATCAAAAGGGGAACTAAGTAACTTAACATTTAAAGAAGAGTTTATTCTATTAAGGTAGCATGACTAAATTTAATGATAAAAATTAACATTATTATGGATTTTCTTTGAGATAAATTATATTTCATTTTCATCATCTAAGTCTTCCTTGTGTGATGGCTTATAAGCTTTAAAGCCTTTGAAAAAGCGTTCTCATGT